ACCAGAAAGAAAAAAAAATACTTTGAATTTTTCTTTGAAGGTCAATACTTTCAAGTTTCGATCAAGGAAATAAAATAAGATTTCTTTTTACAATGCTTATTTTGGTGAAGTCAAATTACAATTTTATTTTCTAACTATAAGTGGGCATTTTGTTTGTTTTCGTGCTTTAAAAAAGTATATGCTCTAACTAATGCCCAAGATTCACCTCGGCAGGTGTAAGGCCAGTCTCAGTGGGAGTTTCGTGAGAGTTTTATTTGCATTTAATAGCTTGTCACATATGCATGTTTGATGACATGGCAATATTTTAACGAAGAGAGAGAACAAATAAGTTTCATGGGGATGAAACTCTATTGGCACAATTACCAACTCTCTATGGGTCTTAGAATTTAATGTCTATGAAACCATGGATTGAAACTTTGCATTGAGAGCGTGTGTTTCATCAAGTTTCATTTCATTTTATATGACATGGCAGTGTTGAAAACAACGCAACGAAACTCTCCACTAAAACTGGCCTAAGAAACTCCCACATTGATCCCAGAACCAGAAAGGAGGTGCTATGAACTTTCTTGTTACTGATTGAGAAAATAAAATAAAATAAAAAAAGTCGCCCAGTAATACTAACATATTCTCTACTTCACTCAAGTAGTAAAATAAAATTAATTAACATCCCATGTACACAGTGGTGGATCCAAAGGGGGGGCTTGGGGGGCTCCAGCCCTCCCTAATGTCTTGATTTCAAGCCTAATCACTGTAGCAAAAGCTTAATTTTACCATTAAATCTTCGTGCAAATCAACATCTCCATTGTTTTAGCCCCCCTTATCCCGCATCGTGCATCCGCCACTGCATGTACATGTAAGAACGTAACTGGATGCGACTGTGCAATTTGGCCACTACCATCAATCTAGGTAGCCATGGGTTTAGACTCCCTAACCCTATTTAATTCAGGGGGGAGGGGAGCCTGGTTGCATCCAAAGCCACTCCACTCTCTTTTCTTTCAATGCATGCTTAGCTTCTCTCTGTTCCCTGGAAACCTCCCAATGAATATGTAGTGGATGCATATAGCCAAGTCGGCGGCGTCCTGATTGACCAGTCACAGGACACCTTCAAAACCCTGGAACCGATCGAGCTTCTGTTGCCTCCCACTCCCAGCCGCTCTTGCAGACTGTCACACTCTGCTCTGCTCGGATATTCACACACTACTGCTAATTCTTCTCCGGGAGCAGTACGTACAAGATATGGGGGTAATTAAATTCCACTTTCCACTGAAAGCTAGCTTTTGGTTTTCATCCACTGACAGCTATTCTTCCATGTATTCTTTTCTAGCTAGTGTACGTTCCGCGGTTAATTTTGCATTGTCTGCACTCTGCAGATCATTAACTGGATGCAGAATCGCTTCAATGGTAAACATGAGAAGAGGCGACCCGAGGCCGCCGCCGCCGCCATTAGCTCAGCTCGCGGTGAGTGATTCCTTTCGTACGTGCGTTCTTCTTAGCTTCGTGCTGACGAACGAACTGGCGGCTCTTGCATGGCATGCATGATGCTGCATTTCTACGTCAGAAAGCTGCCGCCAAGACCACGCGCGCGAGGACAAGATCCCCAACGGCGACTGGCCGCCACAGGGCCTCCTGTCGATCGGGACACTGGGCGACGACCCACCGCCGGCGGCGGGGGATGGAGGTGGAGGCCCGCCGCGCGCGTCGCAGGCCGACGTGCTGGACTTCACCATCGAGGAGGTGAAGAAGCTGCAGGACGCGCTGAACAAGCTGCTCCGGCGCGCCAAGTCCAAGTCCAGCTCCTCCCGCGGGTCGGGCGCCACCGACGAGGACCACGCCAGCCAGCTGCCGCTCGACAGGTTCCTCAACTGCCCATCCAGCCTCGAGGTCGACCGGAGGATCTCCCTGAGGCATGCCGCGGGCGACGGTGGCGAGAACGGCGAGTTCTCGCCGGACACGCAGATCATACTGAGCAAGGCCAGGGATCTCCTCGTCAACAGTAACGGCACCACCATCAAGAAGAAGTCGTTCAAGTTCCTCCTGAAGAAGATGTTCGTCTGCCATGGCGGCTTCGCCCCCCGCACCGAGCTTGAAGGATCCAGTTGAATCAAGGATGGAGAAGGTACCTGTGTTATATTAGCAACGCACATGAAATATATATGTCTGAGTTCATGTCTTGTCAGACAAAGTTTAAACGCTGGTTCTCTCCTGTTTTTAAGTTTAAACGCTGGTTCTCTCCTGTTTTTGAGTGCACACACAGTTGTTCAGAACGATGCTTCAGAAGAAGATGAATGCTCGCCCGAGCAATGCTGCAGTGTCATCCAGGAAGTACTACCTCGATGACAAACCGAGTGGGAGGAGGATGATACGGGATGGTCGTCACGATGAAGAGGATGATGAAAAGGGCTCTGACGGAATCAAGTGGGATAAAACTGATACGGACTGTAAGAACATATATGCTTTCAAGTTTCAACCACACTATGCACACGGTCAAATAACAATGCATATGGAAACTTTATGCGATGAGCTCTGCCAGTAATGATCATGGATCACTGAATGAAATTTCTTGGGTTTTGCAGTCATTGTTCTTGAGATCTAGATCAAGAAGCTCGAGTTCAAGGTCATTGTGGTATTCAATGTGGTAAGCTACAACACTGCAATTAAAAGTATAAATTTCCTGTCAAAGTTGTTGTTGTTGTTGTTGTCCTGTCAAAGTTGTATGATACGATCACAGTTTTTTTTTGTAGGTTCATTGCTGGTGCTAAAATTTGGGTGGTTTGATCTTTCTTTCGCAGCTTATGAGTGATGGCCTTGACTCAGAAGACAAATCCCATTAGAATGGTCGGTGCAACAATAATCCCTAGTGAAGGATATATTCAGTTGAATGGCAAATCGATCAGACGGGATATATATACCTAATGCACCAGGGTGTAATATACTGAATGAAGATCACAATTCACACGTACATTGGCGGGCTTGTTCAAGCGCCACAATGGAGCTGTTCATAGGAAGAATTCTCAGCTTTGTACTTTCCTTTTCCATCTCATCTTCAGATGCCAGATATGTTAATGTTCCATATATATACTATCCTACGTATTGTAGTTCATTTTCATCCTGTGGGCTAATTAAGAGAAGTGATTTCAGTTAGTGAGAACGTAACCCTGATGATAAATTCTTATTCAATTGTGACCCCATCTCAAGAACATGGCATTCCTCATGAAGCATATCATTGCGTGAAATTTATATATATACCCGGAGTCCTGAGTGTGCAGAAGTAGCATTGCAAGTTGGGTGCTTGGAACATGGTCATTGCCGAAACCGGAAAGCTAGGCTGGACGTGAAAATACATCCGAAATCTCCATTGACCGTATAGATCAGAGGCAGCTCCCCGGCAGATTTGTGTGTGTTCGAGCCCAATTGTGGGAAAAAAAGGCGCCAACGAGTGAGTGCCAAGCAACATTGTACACCTTTGGCAGATGCCGATGTGTGCCATTGAATATATATGTATATCTATAGATATTTCCAGGCTTGCAGATACAATACAGTAGTAGTAGTAGTAGTAATAGAGTAGTAGATAGATTTAATACGGTGATAGCAATACTTCTAACTTGATAGAGATGGTTCCTGAGGATCTCCACTCTCTAGAGACATCTAGTCTTTGTTAGTTATGGGAAGGATCCTAGGGATCCACAAGATAAAAAGGTTTCCATCGAAAGCTAGACGACCTATTGTTTAGTTGAGCTCAAAGCTCATGCATTTCTTTTGTCCCTGGCTGTGCAAGAATGTTTGGGCAGGGTAGAGACACCTATCGTTGGTGCATGGATGGATCAATCGATGCATAAAAGCTATTGGAAAATGGGCGAATTGTGGTGTTCTAGGAGAGCCCAGAAGCTGCCGCGATGTGGTCCTGAATCGCGTGTCGCTTTTGATTAAAAAAAAGGAATGGCTAGCTAATAGGAGTACGGAGTACCTCCTTTTTTTTCTTGTTTTTTTTTTTAATGTGAATCTAGCAAATAGTCAACTCTGAGTGTGTCGTATCTTCGGTGAAATCGGCATGATATTCAGATAAGATCACAGGCAGCTTATCACTATCACCCTGGGAACTAGAAGACCCATTTGGGGATTCAGATGTCGACTGACTAGCTTGACTGCCAGAGAATGGCATGCTCAAGATTTTGCAGAGGATCTGGATCTGTCGGAGCGAGTTCTTTGTGCTGCAGATTTGGTCCTAATAATGTTTACTCGAGAATTTGAATCAGTTTTTAGGCGTAGGTTAATCCTAATAATGTTTCCTCATGAATTTGAATCAGTTTTTAGGCGTAAGCTTGAGGCTTCTAATTGATACACAGGGTAAATGGTTCGAGTATAACAATGTATCTAAACCATATGATGCATTCATGGGTTTCCAACTACTGAATACGCTTGCATGGCCTCAGAACTCAGAAGGATGAATATTTCCAGCAATATCTGCGGTGAATCAGCGAGATAATCTAGATGAGATCGCGCAGCTATATCACTATGGGAACTGGAACAGGTTGGGATTCAGAAGTTGACGTCGGACTCGGAGTAAGAGGATGTGTATGTTGACTCGAACCAGTTGTTTCTCGGCTACTCTCTCTCTCGGTTCCAAATTATAGGTCACTTCAGCTTTTTTTATATATTTATTTTGATATAGATCTATACCTAACAAATTTTAAGTAAAAAAAGTCAAAGCATCCTATAATTTGAAACAGAGAGAGGACACTTTTAGCTCAAGTTGAGGGTAGTCGTAGACTAGTAGCCATTCAGAGCTTGCGTTTGTCAACTCTGATCAGATCTCAACAGGCAGATGACCGGCGGCCTGATACGTTTCGGCTTATTTGCTCGTATCTAGCTTATAATCCACGACTTAAACAGTATTTTTCTCTCATACCAAACCAGCCAACAGTACTTTCAGTCATGACTTATAAGAACATGCTGTGGGAGACAAGAAAGCCCAATGACCCAGTCCCTGCACTGCACCAGAGCTACCGCAGCGAAGCAGCTGATGCCACGAGACGAGGTGCTACCGCACCGTTGTCGCCAGCACTACATCTTCGGCTACTCCTATTCGACATGGAGACTCTTGCTAACGGAACAAAGTAACCGTTGTTGGCCACAGCCTGCAAGCTTGGGCGATCGGCAAGCCTGCACGAGCGCACGGCAGGGGAGACAAACATGTCAGCAACAGCTCCGCCACGAGCGATGCCACCTCCAACCAGCCAGACCAGGGCAAACCACCACCGCCGATGCAAAAATAGAGGAACCACCCCAGCGTGTGCAAAAATAAAGGAACTGCGAGCAACGAACAGTAGTAACAGAAATCCACCCACACGGTGTTTCGAATTAAAGCAAAATAACTCTGGTACTGGTACATCCGACTCGACTAGGATCCAAAAACCTCACGGCAATATCACTAGCCACACAAAGCAGACACAGAACTATGGATAAATTAGGCTGGTGCATTGCCCACCAACCACCACCGCCACCACCACAAGGAAATTTCTGCAACAACAGGATTGATCAAAAGTTACAAACACATCGAAAGCAGAAAAGTTTTGAGTAATAACTACAAACTGGACAGGGCAATATTATAATGAGTAGGTTAAAGCAAGATCCTAGTTATGCTACTGCAGCTGTAAGTATCAAGTGCTGAATGACTTACAGATCTTGTTGAAGGCGACAATGTCGCAGCTCTGGACGTACTCGCTCACTGGCTCAGCGCAGAGATGGTCCTCAATGAGAGTGTCGACAGAGACGAGGTCATCGACAATGGTCATCATGATTTGCAGCTTCTTGATGCCATATCCAACTGGGACAAGCTTGGCTGCAAAGGGCAGTAAATGTTCACATCAGAAACATAACACAATGGTAAAACAAATGTGTGATTCACAAAATTGTGTGTGAAAACTGAGAGGTAACATACATGCGCCCCAAAACAGCCCTTCCATCTGGACACTCCTAACAGCTTCCTCGAGCTTGGCCATGTCAGTCTCATCGTCCCATGGCTTCACATCAAGCAAAACTGACGACTTCCCAGCTAACAAGGTATGGAAAGGTTTTTGGGTAAGAAATAAACCTCAACAATATAGCAGTAACAATGATGTCTTTATAGTAAAGTGGCAAGACAGTGTGATGAGAGAATAAAACAGAAAAAATGCACGTTGACATACATTCTTTCTTCTTGCCAGAAGCCTTGGCAGCCGCAGCACGCTCTTCAGCAGCCTTCTTCTCCTCTTCAGTCTCCTCACCAAAAAGGTCAACATCATCATCATCGTCCTCGTCAGCAGCTGGGGCCTGCGGTTATTAGAAAATGCACTTCAGTGACTAAAACGAGTAACTCAGAAGTTCGTATTTCTGATATTGAACCGCATGGTTGATGGTGACTTTAGAAAACAATAATAATAATAATTCAAACCAGCGATCAGCACAAACTATGTGAGCATATAAAACTACTAACAATTTTCAGCCAAAAAATCACAAAGAATTAGCACAACACTTAAATTCACATATAGTTTTCAGCCAAAATAGGAGTCAAGAAATTATACCTCAGCAACATCAGGAGTTGAGGCTGAAGGACCTGCTGATGACTCAACCTTGACACCTAGGCCCTCTGCAGTAACTCCACTGAAATTGTATGGATTATTAGCACACACACACTGCTAACAGGATACCTATTAGGAAATATAAGGACGAGAAGAAGGCCATACCTCAGCCTCAGGAGTGCATCAATGTGACTAAACCACCTTGCTACGTTGATATACTTGGATGAGGGAGCAGCCGAAAATGAAGAGTAGGCAGCCAGGTCATCCTTGGAAGCTTGGTAGCTAGAGACAGATTAATGCAGCATAAGTTCAGTACAAAGGTGATAGGTTATAGCCATTCTGCAAACAGAGCAGCTCGAATCACATACCCAGTGATGTAGCTGCGAGTGAGAAGGTACTCATCAAGCTTTTTCAGCCCTGCCTCAGAGTTGACGTTTGCGAAAGAAACCGCCATCTCCCAACAAGAAAGATTAACAAGTGATCTGACGGCACATATGAGGGCGGTGTTAGAACAACTTGAAATGTCAAATCATGACAACAGTTAAACAGGCATTCAATGAACAGAGAACAATGATGCTACTATAGTACAGTAAAGCAGAATCCAATCCAAGTCCTTAAACAACTCATAGCTATTAGATCTAATAACAAATCCAAACCAAAGCTATGTTTCTGAAGTATCCAAAACAAGCTAAGTGTCATAGATTAATTCAGAGCATAGATTAATTCAGAGCTCAGGTAACAACTTATGGGCACACCGAAACATATCAGGGAACCACATGGCGAACAGAAAGAAAACCGAGATCTTCAGCAACAGTTCATGATTATGAGTCGGATCGGAATTGGTAGGATCGCAAATTCAGTCGGATCGGAATTGGTAGGATCGAAATTCATAACTAATTACTGTAGAATCGTAGAATCGGTTCTAACCGACAAAGACATAATTCTAAGATCGTAAAAGTCATAAAATTGCACAACATAATCGCGATTTTAACAAGTACGACAGCAAGAATATAAGAAACTAACGAACTAAATCTCCACATCGGTATTGCTATAAAATAGAACGGAAAACTAATAAGAGCTAATAATGGAATTCAATGTTATCTCAGCACTTAATGGAATTCAGATTAGATGTTATCTCAACACTTGGAACCACTGTGATCCAGGAGCAGATCTTGTAACGGGACATGGGTACATGGGTGTACATATGTACAGCCGATAATTTTTGCAAAAAGTTAGAACATCTCCAAGAGATTAGCCAAAAGGAATATCTAAATTTAGTGATTTATCTAAAATAGAAAACCCCTCAAAGAAGCAGAGTGCTGCAACGGGTTGTCTAAATTTGCCCTTCTCATATCTGGAACTACCGTACCATCAAGTTTTCTCTGATTTTCTCGAAAACAGATCGATCGCTAGGCCCTGCATTTGCCCGCGGTCCACCGCCAGCCTTCGGTCGCACCGTCAGAAAGCCATCGGCCATCGCACGCTCGTCAGAATCCATCTACGTAGGGTGGGCACGGTGGCTAGATGCGGCCGGCCGCTGGCCAAGTTGCCAGCAATTTGCTGATCAAAGCGGCAGCTGGCCGTTGCTGGATCCGGAGAACGCCCGGCCGCGGGAACTGCGGGCGGAGGGCGGGACTGGTCCACGCGCGCGGGAACGCCGAGGGGAGCGCAGGAATCGATCGATAGCGAGCGGCGTAGACTCGCCTTCTATTGCGACCTAGAAGCACGGGATACACAGCTAGGTATTTTAGAATTCCGGATGGAGAGGCTGTTGGATCGGAATTTCTTCCCAACAATCGCCAATCCGGGTATCACGCTGCATATACAGACTCTGGGAACTCGGTTTCGCACAGCAGACACGGAAGAGAAGTGGGGATACCTGGTGATCGCTCTTCGCCGGAGCCGGGAGGAGAGGGAAAGAGTCTGGTGGCGGCTGGCACTTGGGATGAGAGGCGGAGGCTGGTGGCTGTTAGGGTTTTATATATACCCGCTGATGGTAGTTGGGCCTTTAATGGGCCTTCTCCTTCATCATTGCCCGCGCCGCCAGCCGCGTCCACGTTCCACATTGGCCCAGTTGACTGTTTCTTTCCGCATCGGCCCAGTTGGTCCTCAGCCCAAAATACCGGTTGATTCCTCCGCACGGTCTTTTTCTTATGCCCTGTATGGTTCCACCCATCTGAAGTTTATATATCTAGCTAAAATTTCAAAGCTAAACTTTAACTAGCTAAAAGTTGTCCTAGCTAAACTTTAGCTGGGATATTTGAATCCCTCAGCTAAATTTTAGTTGGTCTTTTAGCTGGACCATTTAGATCTATGGCAGCTAAATTTAGCCAGCTAAAATTTAGTTAAGGATCCAAACAAACCCTTAGTCTCTCTAAAAAAACTGATGTTTTCTTATTATTTTTATTTTTTGTTCCTTTTATTATTATTTTCTATTTTTTATTTCCTTGCTTCTTTTTACTTCTTTTCATTTTTTTATTTTCCTTTTTATTTCTGTTTGTTTAATGTAATTGATTATTTTTAATTTTAGTGTATGTTGTTTGCTGATGATGTAATGTTAGTGGACGAAAGCCAGACGGGAGTAAATAGAAAACTAGAGTTATGGCGGTAGACCCTTGAGTTTCAATGTTTTAGATTGAACAGAACTAAAACCGAATACATGAGATGCGACTTTGGCGGAGCTGCACGGGAGAAGGGAGATGTGAATTTGGAAGGTCAAGTAGTGTCTAAGAAGGATACGTTTTGGTATCTGGGATCGATGCTACAGGGCGATGGAGATATTGATGCGGACGTTAGCCATATAATCAAAGCATGATGTATCAAGTGGCGACAAGCTTCTAGCATTCTCTATGACAAAGAGGCTACCACAGAAGCTAAAAGGCAAGTTTTATAGAACGACGATTATACTGGCTATGTTGTATGGAGCAGAATGTTGGCCCACAAAGATTCGACATGTTCAACAACTGAGTGTTGCAGAAATGCGTATGTTGCGATGAATTTGTGGTCACACAAGAATGGACCGAGTTCTGAACGATAATACACGTGATCGCCTAGAGGTAGCACCAATTGAAGAAAAACTTGTCCAACATCGATTGAGGTGGTTTGGACATGTCCAAAGGAGACATCTAGAGACACCAGTGCATTGTGAAGTCCTAAGCCAAGCTAATAATATAAGAAGATGTAGAGAAAGACCGAAATTGACATGCGGAAGACAATAAAAAGATATTTAAAAGCGTGGGATATACCTAGAGATCTATGTTTGAATAGGAATGCTTAAAAAGCAGCTATTGAAGGGCATGAACCGTGACTTAGAGCTCTCGGTGGGTTTCAACTCTAGCCTATCCCAACTTGTTTGGGACCGAAAGACTATGTTGTTATTGTTGTTGTTGTAATTTTATTTTTATTTTCATGTTTTACCATTTTATTTTTTCTTTATATTTTTATGTATATTTTTTTGTTTTATTTTGTTTATTTTTTCTCTTTTAAAATCTATTTTAACTTATTGTTTTTATTTTCATGTTGTAGTTTTTTATTTTTTATATTCTATGAGATACATATATTGTTCATGCGGTATACATGATGTTCGATTGTGTATTTTTGTCTATTCACTATAATAGTGAGATGTTCGGTATATTTTAAGATGCTTGCGTATTATAGAAGGGATGTTCTCGAGTGTATCTTTCATTACTCACATTGTACTGTGAGACATTTTGTGGTATATTTTAGGTTATTTGAGTAGTATCCATGTGATGTATTTTTTTCTACTTCCCCGTATTACGTTGCTTTTTCCATTTTATTGTTTTCGTTTTCGCTTATGTTTCGTTCTACTTTTTATTATTTTTGTTTTTTCATGTGATGTTCGGTGGTATATTTCAAAATGTTCTCTTTTTAATACTATAATAGAGACGCATGTTATAAACTATTATATTCTAGAATATAATTTTATTTTCCTAGATCAAAAAATATTGTTGTCCTTGGAAGTGTGTTTAGAACCTAAGTGGGCTTTGGTTGATTGAATGACAACACGATTAAGAGCATGTTTGGAACATAGGGATCATGCAGGAATTTCGCATGAGTCAGTTCAATTTTATAGGAAAAATGTAGGTGCATGTAAAAGTTCTCGCATTACAAACATGACCAGGTTGATTATTGTATGATATACTCATATTATATGTTATTAATGTAAATGAGAATTGAGTCCAGGTTCGTTTATTAGAATGCATGATTTGGCAAGCAAGTGTGTTATCAAATAAATAAGACATGAGGATTTGCATGTGGATGGGTCTCATGTTTCGTTTATACATGCTAGTATCTGCATGATCTATACTCTGGAATTAATCATGAAGTTGCCTAGTACTTCAATAGGAGATACATATCAAATGCAATATGTGATGCCAAAGAAATTCAGCATAAAGACAACTAAAGAAAGGGTGTTGGGATAGTTACGTTAGGACTACATAGAACAACACGCATTTTACTCATTCAAGTCTCTTTATAACCATGTTATCTATAGTTGATGAATATATATTTTTTCCCTGAGAAGAACAAATAATAACTTTAGAGAGAACAAAAGCAATCGTTGACTTGTTACTGTCAAATTGTCAATTGATTGGCCGATCCGAGAGTCTGTCTAAACGACTAAACCCTAAAGTACGTAGGCTTAACGTGATTTAGAAGTCAATTATTTTATTAAAAGTTAAATAAAAGAAAGCGACTTACCTTAGATTTCCATCGACCACATCATGGCCACACCGTCACGTAAATGCAAGCCGATGTTTTTCCATTTTCAAAATAATTTAACAAAGACCATAGAATTGCAAAGCAAGCACTGCCGTGCCGGTAACAGTGCATCCTCCCAGACGTTGAAAATGCAACATGATATATGATAAACATAGTTAGGTCGTATGCCAAACACGGAACACTACACAGGAAAAGATTAATCTGGCTGGTTCCTGCCCAATTACTTGTGGTTTTCGGCCCAATTGGCCAACGCCGCAATTGTTTTTCTGCGAGTTTGGCCAGATCACTCACAAGTTTCTTTTGTCAGCACGTACTGCGTCGTACGAATAGGCTAGACGTTTATTAGGACTAATCCGACGCTGAAGGATGGGAAGACTTTACCCGCTATAATGGGGAGGGACGGACACGTGGTCGTCCTGATAGCACGTCAAGGACCCTCAATTCCAGCTCTGCACTTGCCAAGATGCAGTGTGCAGTTATGCACGCTTGTCGAGGCTTGATTGTTTACGTGGTTTATAAGCCGACTGATATTGTTTTGTTGTGAAAGAAAAATACTATATCATGATTGATAAGCATAGCTGATACGATGGAACAGGAAGAAGTGCTGACGTTTATTCGCTCGAGTACCAAGGCACACCACCCACAATTTGGCCGTTTTGGTGCCTCGCCGTCGTAGCGTAGGAGTAGGACAGGCAGATCAGATCATCGATCATGGGTTGGAGTGTACGTGTACGTCGCCCTGGATCAAAAACGAGATTATCCATCTCATTATATCCACTGGCCTATTATTATTTGTTTATAAGCATGTATGTCGACTATTGTTTGTTGCTGATCTTGTGTTGGTTGTAGTTTTTTTTTTCTGCATCTACCGTTACTCTTATTGTCAGTCTGTCATTTGTTGCGTGATTGTGTCACATGTCGATTTTTGCAACATCAAGAGTAAGTCACCTTTGAGCGAATAGCAAACTTGTATCATTTTACTAAAATGTCCTTGTAATCAAGAACAAAATAAGTGTGTGGGCAGCTTTAAGTTTTAACGAGATGTTTGGTTAAGCATGTATATTGTTTGGTGCAGGTCGGTTAAGACATATCTTCGCATTTCTATAGGTGTCGTCAGTGAGTCATCTATTGCATTATCGATTCTTGTATTGTCGAGAAAAACCGTGAGCAAAACACACACTTTTATTGTTTACCACAAGGCCTTTCTTTGTAATTAATCAAGCGCAACGTCAGGTCTTCCATGAGATGCTTTAAGACATAGAGGTAGGTGCTTATTTATTTTGGTATCTTCATATTTACTTTGCATTTTGAAAGTTGCTTGTCATTTAGCATAGTTGACTTATGTTATCAAAACAAATATGACCAGCTGGTGGCCTCATCATTTATTAGTTTCCTTTTGTGATGATTACGCGTGAAATGAATGGGATAGATATCTTTCTCCCATATCTCTATTGGCAATCCGATTCCTACTAGTATAAGGTATGCATATCTTAGATGTTCAATTTATTTGTGTATTTACTCTAATACTCTCAAAATAATTTATTTGCATGATCTTGGAAGATTCATTCGTGGAACCTAATAATTTACTCCATAAACAAAACCCATAGTTAGGTCGTCTCTTGCATGAATAGTCACCATGTACTCGGTCCGCTAGGCAGGGATGGGCTCATTGTAAACCAGTAGTCCCGTCTAGTGCGCTCGATCGGCGCGTCGATGTAAAAGCAACCATTTTCTCGATCTTAATACAATGATGCGTAAATCTTTTGCGTATCTAAGGAAAAAAAACTCCATAAACAAAACCCATAGTGCCTAACGAAGTAATGAAAATGAAACCAATAGTGAGGATAGATACTCTCAAGGCAAAACCTCGCATGCCGGTCAGCATGGGCTAATCTTATCTCGCTTGTCCTATTTGCTTTTGTTTTCTCATCATCAACGCATTTCTGCCTGATTTTCATCATCCTGGGGAGTAATCCTGGCCACTGTTCCCTTGTTGCGTTCCTCTGTTCCCGTGGGCCGTGGCAATGGCAACGGCTTGGGCGTGGACCTAACAATTCGTTCCTTCTCCACGTCAAAGTCTCCGCTTCCGTTCTTCTTCCACTCCACTCCTCTCTTCTCCTTGGGATCCCAATCCCGCTTCTCCTCCCGTATTTCTATTTCTATATCCTGCTCAACTCAACGCGGATGCTCCAGGCAAGTGCCAGTGCACCACGAGCACGCGCAGGAAGGCAGGAAGCCCGCCGCTCTCCCCTCGTATGATGTCAATGGCCTCCTCGAGCCTCACCCGCCTCCTGGTGGCCGTGGTCTCGCTGTTCACGTCGTCCGCCCTCCTCTGCGCCGACGCGTCGGTGCACGACTACGCCGGCGAACGGTTCGCGGCCGACGGCAACGCCTTCGTCCTCCACGGCGGCAGCGAGGGCGTCTACGCCTCCGCTAAGGCCGCCGCGTTCATCCGGTACGTACGTATGAAACCGCGTCAGAGGATCAATTCATCGCTTCCTTGCCTTCTCGAGGACTTGGGGAGGGGATTTCGAGGTGACGCTGACGCGATGTATTTCTTGATCGGCCGACGGCGCGCGCAGCTTCGAGAAGGTTGCGTTCAGAAGGACGCCCGAGTCAGCCGCTGCGGCCGAGGAGGACGGCAACCGCACGGCCACGGTCACGGCGGTCATCTTCGAGGCCGGCGACCGCGACGCCGTCGGGGGCGCGGACGTCTCCGTCTCCGGCGGTCGCGTGCTCTGCTGCACGCCGGACATGGCGAGGCTCGGGGCGTGCACCGAGGGGACGGCGACGTACCGCGCGCGGAACGGCATCGGCTGGCCCAGGGTGTTCGCGGCCTCCTTCCTCCCGGGCAGCCTCGAGGCGGCGTTCCCGGACGAGACCGTCGCCATGGCGCGCACCGGCATGTACACCCTCCTGTTCGTCCACTGCGACGCCTCGCTCGCCGGCGGGCAGGTGGCCGCGCGGGGCAAGACCATCTGGAGGAACAGCCGCGGATACCTCCCGGGGCGGATGGCGCCGCTGCTGCCCTTCTACGGCGCCACGTCGCTGGCGTTCGCGGCGCTGGCGGCGTACTGGTTCGCGCAGTGCGCGCGGTTCTGGCGGGAGGTGGTGCCGCTCCAGAGCTGCGCCACGCTGGTGATCGCGCTGGGGATGCTGGAGGCCGCCACCTGGTACTTTGACCTCGCCGAGTTCAACGAGTCCGGCGTCCGCCCCCGCGGTGCCACGTTCTGGGCGGCCACGTCCGGCGCGCTCCGCGGCGCGGCGGCGCGCGTGCTGGTGCTGGCCGTGGCCATGGGCCACGGCGTGGTGCGGCCCGCGCTGGCGGGGCTCAAGAGCGCCAAGGTGGCTGGCCTCGGCGCCGCGTTCTTCGCCGCCGCGGAGGCGCTCGAGGTCAGCGAGAACGTCGGCACCGTGAGCGACCACTCGCCGTCGCCCACGAGGAGGCTGTTCCTCGTGCTCCCTGTGGCGGCCCTCAACGCGGTGTTCGTGTACTGGATATTCAGCTCGCTGTCGAAAACGCTGAACAAGCTCAAGGTGAGGAGCAAAGCTTGTTCCGGTCGACCATTTCGGCTTGTTTTCTTGAGAATTCTTCAACATCATAAATGCAGGAACTTGTCAATGCTTGCAGGCAAAACGAATGACGGCGAAGCTGGAGATGTACCAGAGGTTGAACAACGCTTTGATCATCGCGGTGGCCGTGTCACTCGGCTGGATCACATTTGAGGTAAACTCTACCAAACAAACACCCTTTTTTGTGTAAACAGGAGCCTGCATTCATTCAACTACTCTTGCTGTCCAGTCTCTCGCCACTCCAGAATTGTTCCTTTCAGCATCTGATCTTAGTGAACACGTTCCAGTTTGAGTTGAGCACTGCATAGCCTTAGCCTGACCCATCCTGTTGAACAATCAACATTGCTAGTTTTTCTTTGGATCTTAGCCCAAATGTTCAGTCCAAGATCGATAGCGAAAGACTCCTCTTCTTGTGACTTTTATCGATCAACCTGTCGCTGCCAATGTGCTGGTAAATGTTTTGGGGTGCATGAGGGATAGGGAAAGAACCATCTTTGTGACTGATCAGATGATGGCCCTGCCCTCCGGGTAACAAGTTGATCCTGTACCTCCAGAATGCCCATCTCTTTATACAGTACAAAAAGCCCACTAATGATGTCCAGCTGAAAGAAAGAACACTTCTGCATTACCCTGCACTCCGTCTTTCCTAGACAGTGACAAAACTTGCGGTCACCAAACATCCTGCCTGACCATCTACAAATTGCTATGCGCTTCGCTTGCAGATCCACTTCAAGTCGACGGACGAGTACAACGAGCGGTGGCGCGCGGCGTGGGTGATCCCGGCAGTGTGGCAACTCATCTCCTTCTCGCTGCTGTGCGCCGTCTGCCTCATGTGGGCGCCCTCGCAGAGCTCGACGAGGTACGCCTACCTGGAAGACGAGGAGGGCGGCGAGGACGAGGACCGTGACGTGGAGGACACGCGGCCGCTGATCCGGCCCGGCCCGCTGTCGTACGTGGATAACTGGGCCATCTCCGTGTCCAAGGACGCCACCACCATCATTCTGAGAACCGACTCCGGCGTGTACGCGAAAGCCGCCGGCGATGGAGGCAAGCGGGTGTAGTGAAGCACAGCGACGAGAGGTTGACGATACCATACGACTATACGAGAGCAAGTAAGGCGTTGCGTCAGCAAGAAACAAGAAAGCTTCTCCCAGAAATGTCAGAGTGGCAGCTGTCTATACTATCGTTTGCAGCGTTCCTCGTTTCTTTGATAATCTCAAGGCTTTAGGTAGAGTACGCTAAAGCCGTTGACAGATGCGCAAGCAAGTGCGTGTAGACGACGTTAATGTAGCTCTCTCTCTAGGTTATATAGCTGATTTTTGCTACATATGATCCAATGAGTATGAAATTTTTACTACGGTTCAATTATACAGTAATTAGTCCACCATAAAAAATTTATCACAATTAGACCATAGAAACTGCAGCTATGAATTATTCTAATTAATTACAGAAAAACATAAATCTAAAGCCACAGTAAAAAAAATTATACTAAAGCATACCATATTATGTATTCACTGTGTAGATCTACTCATGTGGAGTCCAATAAAATTGGATTTTCCATTTTGTGATTTTTCTGTGATTTACTATGATTTTTCAAAGATTTAGCCAAAATAAAAAAAAGACAAAACCGTCTTAAAACTGCTTATAAAAGGGTCAGGGAGGAAAGATGAACGGTTTTAAAAGTTGAGGGAGGTGTTTTGCCCGGTTTTAGAGTTCAGGGAGAAAAAATGAACTTTCGTGAAAGTTGAGGGAGGTAATGTTGACTTTTTCCCTTCAGAATGTGGCCGAACTACTTAACCCTCCTCTCTGTTTGTCGGTGTTTCGAATAAACACCAACTAATAAATGAATCATGAGCATGATTACGAACAATAAAATACTAGTACTGGAAATAAATGAAAACCAATAACTCTAAATGACTACTCACACATAAATTATATTTTTAGAAAACCAATCTAACTCTAGTTTATTTAAAATAAAATATTTATAAATTTAGAAAATAAACTAGTTTTATTATTTTCGTTTAGAAAATATAGACAATCTTTAAAATCAGTGATCCATTTGGGTGTTTCCTCCTGCTGAATCACGCACGGTGACTCCAAGAACTGACACGGTAAACGCTGAATGGCACAGGCGCACACCGGCACCGGCACCGGCACACCGCACACGGCACTCCTGCATCCGGGATTTTTTTTATTTTTAACACTTTTTTAAACTAAGGCTCCGTTCGCGTGCTCTTAACTCGGCTTGATCCGTTTATTTTTTTATCCGGAATAAATTTTTTTTCTCACAAATTCCTCCAGCATGCATGACGAAAAGCCTATTGCCATGGCCGCGTCTATTGCCATGGCGCGAAGAAAAGCCTATGCCGCGTCATGCATGATGGCGTGGCGAGAGGGGTGACGTGGCGACGACCGGGGCGCTGACCGGTGACGTGGCAGGATCTGCCGCGCCATAGCTCACGGCGCGGCAGGACCTGGACGCAGACAGAAGACCCGCCTCAATTGCAATGAACGGCGCGTCGCAGCTGAATGGCACCTGCAGCTTCGACTCCAATGCCTTCGCCTTCCTCGACCCCTCGCCGGTGGGCTTCCACAACGCCTTCTACCATGTGCTCTACACCGACATGAGGTCGCGCAGCACGGTCGACTACTACGCGTCCAACCAGGGTGCCTTCTTTGACGATTTCGTGGCGGCGATGACCAAGCTCAGGAGGATCGGGGTCAACACGCCGACCACCGGTGGCGAGATACGCCAGGACTGTCGGGTCCCGAACTAGTTGCTAGTTAATCTGGCCGGCAATGCTGTCGCGACGCATTGAAACGAATATGAAGCAAATAAATAGAGTCCGTGCGCAAGTTGACAAGTTTCGGATATTTGTTCGACATAACCAACTAAGTTTCGGACATAACATTTGTTCGACATAAATTTCGGACGATAATATTTGTTCGACATAAGTTCGACATAACCATCTAAGTTCTAAGAGTGTAAGAATCCCTCGGACGTCTTTGTCTCTTTGGATTTATAGGCAACACATTGGGAGTGTAGCCAACGTCGGTGTGGTCGCGTTGTCGGTGCGTACGGCTCATACCCTGCAAGTATATGATATGCACGATTACTTATAATCTTTATGATCGTTAGTTCATGGAGCCTACATATTTAAAGAAACTACTTTTGTTACTACCTGTGAGGCTCCTTGGGTACCAAGCGGGGCACCACCTAACTAAGGCATGCCGATCTCGTCCTACGAACAATCGTTCCGCTGGTGGTGCTGTCTGCGGAAGCCCGGGGGTCGTCGTCCTCGGTTGCAGGGTCCTTCCCAGCACTATGATATGGTGGTGTACGCACTGCGGAAGTGACACCTGTCACCGGCTGAGAAGAGCCGGCTGGTGTCCTCAAAGAGCCAGAAGACGTGCCACCCGACCGCGCCGGGACTGCCGGTTCCACCCAAGGAGTGTCCATGCAGCTCAGCTTCTATGCTAGCTTCCTGTAGCTCCGCTTCACCTTCTGCATAAATAGACGTTAAAGTTAGTGCATTTCCCAAACGATATACACTAAAGAAATATTTTTGGAACAGAAAAGTTTATGTTTACCTCCACAAAATCCTCGAGAACGCCTGGCCCCAGCCCTCTAGACTCGTGAAGCCGAAACGTTGATTCGTTGGACAACCTTGATAATTATGTCGCCTGAGTATAGAAACGCGGTTGGACAGTTTTAGTACACATACTTAATACCAAATGGATAACAAATTGTACCATTCGAGTATCTTACCAAGTATCTTTGAAGCGGGGCTCTCTGTAGTTATGTGTCGTCCCTAGTGGCAACATCGTACACATCTTCGATCACATCTTCCTCGTCGTCCTCGTCAATCGCCTCCTCAATGTATGGAGGCTTGATATGTGTCCTCGTAGACCTGTGAAGCCACCGCAGGTACTCATCGAAGGTGTGCTGGTCGTGTGGGGGGCCCGCATCAACCGGCTGCCAGTCCCTGTTCTGCCACAACTGGATGTACGTGTTGTGTGTCACGCGTCAATCCTTGGTCTTGTACCTCTTCCTGCGGTCATACCTACAACAAAACAATTGTTAGTTGTACCATACACACCTCTAAATTATAGCTTTGTTATTAATCGATAACGCACTGGTGCAATTCTTGGTTGGTGGAGTAAAGCGGTGGTGGGTAGCCTGTCATTCTTCCAAACTGCCTGCAAACCCTGATGGGCAAGTGAATCTTGACCACGTGGAAGAAAATAAGAGGGACGTTGTGGCGATACTCATCTAACTCATCCCCTAGTGACAGGACTCAGATAGTACTCGAGCTCTGGAGCATTCCAAGGACACCAATGCACCTGAACATTTCGTAATTGAGTTAGATTGTGATATAGTGTACATCGAACAAGACACATGTATGATAGTAAAGAGAGCGTAAACTGGTGTTGTGTCAGGACATCGAGACCATCCATGTACTCCCTGTACTTACGTCTCGTATTCCCTCTAACTAACTCTGCTTGCGTCCAGATATACAGAGCTGTAGGGAGTGTATCCTGCCCGTTCCAATGCTGCATTGAATACGATAATGAATTAGCCATTAATAATTTAATCATATGTAACTGCCTCGAAGAATATAGTGAACCGAAGTACTTATCAGTAAACCTGTAGCAAAGGGCCTTCCAATGGCCCATCGTTCCCAACACCAAACCTGTAGTAGGTAGGAGCAACCCCAAGGTTCGCATACCCTGAGGTGCGACGGCATGCAACGTATAGCTATCGAGACGTCCATGTTAGGATTACGTTGTCCCAGTTGTACGCCGCTATGTTATCCCACGACTAGCGTAGTATGTCAAGGAAGATCTAGCTGATGGTGTTGCTCGAGGCGTCTGGGAAGAGGAAAGCACCAAGGAAGTGCTAAAGCCACACTCTAGCGAACCTATTGATCCGAGCCTCATCAGTCTGTGGGTCCAAGTAATCAAAGCGCTCTGTGATCCACGATGACGAAACACCGAAACTTTTTCTAAAATTCACCAAAGAAAATGAGACCCGATGGCTGCAAGAAAGCAATGCAAGTATTAAATAGGCTTGAATTGGTTACTTATTTTTCTTTGAAACATCGTCGTCCGGTGGAAGAAAGCCAGTGAACTGAACAACCAGCTCCTTCCAGTGATCGTTGTCAACTATACTGGTCACTGAAAGTCCCCCCAACCGAAGGCCAAAGATAGCCTTCACGTCCTGCATGGTCAAGGTCATCTCGCCGCAAGGTAGGTGGAACGTGTGGGTCTCAGGCCTCCACCTATTATAAGAATAGAACGACTGTTAGTTGCCTCAAATTTGTTATAAGAATGTTTACGTACAATGAAGGCACTCACACTTGTCTACAGCTACAGTAAGTAGTGCTGGGTCAAGGGGCGGAAGACCGTAGTTGATAACCCAGACAAGCTCGAGGAAGCCGGCACGCCGTATGTACAGCGCGTAACGCTCGTCCCACTGACGCGCCCTGGTGTGCGTGCGGGGCCTCAAAGGAGGCAAGGGCACCTCTACATCGGTGTCGTTCAAGATGTGTGTTCGGTGCGGCTCGTCGTACTCCACCTCAAGAAGGGGGTACAACGTGTGCTGCGTGGGAGGGGCCATCCTGTTACAAATTGATAAACAAAGAGTTAGAGTATTCAAATTAACAATATTCAAATTAACATTATGTAGCATTGCAAATTTTGAGCTACTTATTATGCAATAGGAATACAATATGAAAGCACATGTATATATTCAAAGTAACATTAATGTCGGTGCGGGACCCACGAGATACCCCGCAAGGAAGGGAGAAGATCTAGTCTAACTAGGATTCTTCCCATGTAATCCTAGTAGTAGTATTATTCTATAATCCTACTAGAAACTTTCATTATAAACCGACTAGGACTCTGGACTCCTGACTATATAAAGGAGGGCAGGGTTCCTAGAGACGGGACTGAACAACACAACACAACACTTCACAATCAATCCAACGCAGAGGCTAACGCCGACTGGACGTAGGGCTATTACTCGATCAACGATCGAGGGTCCGAACCAGGATAAATC